ATTTTTTTCTTAAAAAAAGAAAATCAAAGCAACGATTCAAAGAAATATTTGTTAGTGATGGAATACGCCAATAATGGTACTCTTCGAAACTATTTAGGCAGTTGTTTTAAAAATCTTACTTGGATTAATAAATTAAATCTAGCATCTCAGCTAGTTAATACTATATTATTCTTACATCACGAAGGAATTGTGCATCGCGATTTGGTAGGATATTTACTTTTAATATTTATTAAAATATACTAAGATTATTACCTAACAATTATTATCATTTTAACCAATAATGATAGCACTCTAATAACATATTAGTTCATAAGGATACTATTAAATTAGCTGATTTTGGATTATCAAAAAGGATTGATGAATCATCCAATATTCAATCAAGATTATTTGGAATGGTTACTTATGTTGATCCACAAATATTTAATAGAAAAAGAGATAACAACAATCAAGTTCAAATATATTCATTAAATAAAAAGAGTGATGTTTATAGTATTGGTGTACTCTTATGGGAAATATCGTGTGGGCGCCCACCTTTTTGTAATGAACTATATGATGTTGGTTTGGCTATGGAAATATTACATGGTCTTAGAGAGAAACCCATTCCCAATACACCTGAAGATTATATAAAAATATATACTGGTAAATACAAATAAATTTTAATCATCATGTTCATACTGTAATAATTATATTTATTAATTATAAGTTTATTTTATATTTAGATTGTTGGAATAATGAACCAGATAATCGTCCAACTATCAACCAAGTTGTTGCAAAATTAAATACAATTATTTTAAATGAAAATGTCCAATTATCAAGCGAACAGCAGAAAACTCCTAGAAATATTATTAATAATTCATTGCATGGAGAAATGTCTCAACTTATTCAAAATTTTAATAATATGAATACAAAAGAAATGGATACTACAATATCATCAGAGAATAATTTTGATATTATGGTTAATGAAATAATTCTTCTTTTTGAAAATACAGTTATGGAAAGGAGGAAACATGAAATTGTTAATTATCTTAATAATCATAATATAACTTCACAAGAAATTTATAATTGGTTGTTGAATAATCAGAATAATTCGAATTCTGTTTTTTTACTTGGAATATTTAATCATTTTGGAATTGAAATTAATGTTGATAAACAAAAAGCATTTGAATTATATCAAATAGCTGCAAATTCAGAAAATGCACGTGAAATAATTAATTTAGGAACTTGTTATGAATATGGAATAGGGACCAATATTGATAAACAAAAAGCATTTGAATTATATCAAAAAGCTGCAAATTTAGGAAATTTTACATCTCAATATAATCTTGCAAATATGTTTAAAAATGGAAGTGGAGTTAAAAAGGACATAAATAAAGCAATTTATTGGTATACAAAATCTGCTGAACAAGGATATCAAGAAGCTCAAAATAAGTTAAATACTTTAATTAATTAAAAGAGTGTACTGTAATACTGTAATATGTTTTTATCATGTATTCCATATTTTTCTATAAATATAAATATTCAGATAATTTATAATTTTATCAATTTTACTGATCATAATATGATAGTAGAATTATTAGAATTATTGAATATTAAATATATTTATAAAATTTTAATTAATAAATTTTAAATACTAGTGACTTTATTTGATTATCTTTATATAATAATTGGGTTCTTTCACCGAATTTAATTTTTTACTGTAATTTGATAATTGATAACATAGTCACAATTACGCAATTATTAGTTACTAATTATTTATTGTGTAGAATTTTGTTAATATACACATAAAAGAAATGTTATGTAATATGAATATAATAAAATGTTAATTTTTTATTTATTGTTTGAATTGTTTTTGCCTCTCACATAAATAAAGTGAGATGCCAAATACTCTAATAAAGAAGGCCATTATTGGGCTTTCTTCGAGGAATAGCTCACAACATTCATTTTAACTAATTTATATATTTTATTCATTTTATGTATTAAAAGCATTAAGCATAAGATTTTATTAGTGTTCGTTTATGCTATGATGGAATTTCCAAGATATATATATAAGTATTTAATTACCTAAGCATTAAATATAGTCATGAAATTGTATATTAAATATAGAAAACAGCTAAATAAATCTATTTTTTTATTTTTATTTATTAATATTTTTAATTGTCATTGAAACGACCCTGGCCCTGTTGGTGAAATGATCATCAACTAAACAACTGTAGGTGAAATGACCCTGTTGGTGAAATGACTGTCAGTAAGTTGATTATCAGTGAGACAATTTTTGGTGAAATAAATGCATCCCATAATAATTAATTGTAAATATTCCTTTTTATGTAGCATAATATAAGAGCTAATTTATTATCATGGTACGGTTTCATGAAGTGGACAATTCCATTAAATGTAAAAGGGGAACAAATAAATCAATTAATGTTTATTCAAAAAATATATATATATATATTCATATTGATAGAATATAAAGGAATGGAATAATTCTAATATTTGATATATAATTTAATTGCGGTCCGTCACTCAACGGCACAAAATTAATTTGTAGATCCGGCACAGATTTTATATGAATTACGTCACCAATCAATAACATTAAACATGAATAAGCCACACAAAAAAAATTTTTTATCGTTCGATATAAAATTTAACAAGTTTACCTTGGAGGAAGTTACCATTTCACCTTGTATTTTAGTTAAGTTGAGATTTCTTATACACGAATTTACGAGGTTTTTTTCACACTATTGAAAAAAAAAAAAAAAAAAAAAAAAAAAATATTTTTTTTTTATTTTTATTTTTTTTTTTTGGTCCTACCGGTTTTGGAAAACACACCCAGGTAATGTAATACCCTTTTCTAGCAAATTTTTGAAGTATTTATATTGTTGTGAAGTGTTTTTAATATAGTGCAAACACCATTCCAGAGCAATAGTATTTAATATATAAAAGTCCGTCGAAATTAATTATAGATTTTGTACCGACCGGCAATTAATATATTTAAGTTTCTAAAGAAATGATGTAACAAAATAAATATTTTGACTTACAAAATTCAATTACATGTCACATTGTTATTTGTTACCTTTAAAGTTTGAACTGAAGATTCTGAAAAAAATGTTTATGCGAGTACTTATTTTAGATTGACATAACTATTTGATGACGCAAACACATTTGCTTAAATTTAAACTTTCATCTTATTCACAATATTCAATAAAAAAAAATATGACATAGGAGTGTAAATTGTATGAACTAAACCTTTATGAAAAATAATATCATAAAGTTCCAGATTAAATCTTGATCATATAAAATTAGAATCCTTATAAACTTTATGAAAGAATATAACAGAAGACATTTCTCAATTCTATAACAGATCTGCTGCTGTTGTACAGTTGCAGATTAAATTTAGAAAATTTAGAAAATTTCACAAAAAATTTCCACCATTCAATTCTTCAATTCTAATGACAATAAGGAGACAAAAATATAATTCTAGTATTTTATTTTTTATTCAAAACAGTATGTGCTTTAAAAAACTTAAATAATAACTTCTACTTTTTTTTGATAAAAGTTTACAATTAAGTCTAACTTTTTATAAATTACGATCGTTTGAAACAAAATTTACTGATTAAAAATGATCTATTACATATTTCAAGTTTCAACGCCAAATTACAGTTTTCAGATCATAAAGTAGCACGAAAAAATAATGATCAAGTTTTGAAAAATGCAGTTTTTTTCCAAATAGAGTCAAATAATGATGAATGATCAGTAATATAATGATGTCATCTGAATATATGATCCAAAAAGTATTCATCTCATAAAAACAAGGAAATTACGAAGTAAATTTTCAGACCATATGACTTCTGCTTATCTAACAAAATCATATAATATGAACAATTATTATTGTCATTGTAGCAAATTTCTTTGAATTACGATTAAATTAACCTAATGTATAAATTTATATGGAAATATGTAAATATTCTTAAAAAAAATAAATATAATTAAAAACCTCGCTTCATATAAAGATAAAATACTATAATCACGACGTTATATAACGTCATAAAACCCATTATTCAGCTTTAATGACGTTTTCAATATTTGTTTTGCTTTAATTGCACAAATAATTTCAGCCAATGTTAATTAAGCATTTTTATGCAATCATATTCGAATGTTCAATAAAATCTGATTTATTTTGAAAATAAATACACCTATATAAATTTAATTATTTGAAATATTCATAATTCAAAATTCGCTAATTGACCGTAAATTGTCTAGATTGTATATAAATATAAAATAGGTACAAAATAGAAATTATTATCCTATTTTTATTCAAGAACCTGATTACTCTCAGATATAAATTTAATTGTAAAGACTTATTATTGGGTGTAATTTTTTATTTTTTTATTATATATCGCATCACTTTTTTTTTAATTTTAAATTTTTAATTGGTTTCAGAGGGAGTTTTTAAATAATTAAAGAATTTATTTACGATCTTACGTAATAAACTCATGTAGACTTATATAGGCTCGTAAAATATTTAATAAAAAATGGGAATCTAATAAATTATATACATAAAAGAAAAATTTTAATGATATCACAAGAGACATTTTGTGACGTCATGTAACGTTAAATAATTAGTAATTGGCTTTGATGAACAGGTCCCTCGGCTATATATATGTTTATGGTAACACAGGTGAAATATTATGCAGGTGACAAATAGAGATCAGACTACAAAAAAATTCTGAGATAAATATAAACAACGCGCGAACGCGTCAGTCACGTGTACGGTGGTAAGTCTAAACGTAGGACAGAGCTGCTCCTTACTAAATTTATTTTTTTTTGCCGCAGCATGATTTACAAATTACACATTTTTTTTTTCTATAAATAGTCCAAAATTCTTTTTTTTTTCTCGAACTTTTTCAACGTAAAATAACTCCCATAGTAAAAATAACTGCCGCAGTAATAACAATGTCTAATTACTCTAATAGCACTGAACTTACAATTACTGATAATTCAAATGAATGGATTAATTTAATTGAAGAATCTATTGCGAAAAAACAAATTAAATATTATGATTATAATCATTTTAATAATATACAAGAAATTGGTTTTGGAAATTTTGGAAAAGTTTATCGAACAAATTGGAAAAGTTATCATGGTCATTTAGCATTGAAATCTTTTTTTAATTTTAATGCCATGGCCAAAGAAATTGTTAACGAAGTAACTATTATATAATATACCCATGATTGTCTTGATACAGTACGTTAACATAAATTATATTCCTAATTTATCATTTTTATTTTGTTAGCTTAAACTTCAGCGTGAAATTGATTTTCATGAAAATATAATTCGATTTTATGGCATTACAACAGGTATTATAAATATTTAAATATTATTTTAATAAAATAAAAAATTCTAAATAAATTTTATTTTTTTCTTAAAAAAAGAAAATCAAAGCAACGATTCAAAGAAATATTTGTTAGTGATGGAATACGCCAATAATGGTACTCTTCGAAACTATTT